TTCTAGATAATTTTTCTGGAGTCATGTACAAACGGTATCATTTGTGCAATTTAGCAATTACATGTTCATCATTTGTACATAGTTCATTTTCAATCATTTGTACATAGATCAATTTTTTTTGAAGTAATTGAATATTTTTGCCTTGCCTATTTTCAGTAAAACTGTAGTAAGTTTCAAAGAGGTAGCTTTGCTAATCTGATTGATTGATTGATTGATTGATTGATACCTTAAAGACTAACAAGTGTCTTATCCCATATATTTATAATATATTCAAATCTACTTCATAGTGTTGGGCTAAATGATTCATCAGAATTCTTGACACATCTTGTTCACTAAAGCTTTTGGATCAAATCATTTCTCTCCAAAATGTCAATAAGTACTTTTCAGCAATTTTACAGTTACAGATCTCTCCTTATATATCACTCTAACAGCTTTCCTTGAAATTCAGTTGTGGAAACAGTTGGCTGATTATTTGTAAATGATGCAACACATGGAAAGAGAAGAAGTCCTTTGCAACTATTTACCCTTGGCCTGGCTTAAAAGTTCACATGAGATTTGCAGGAAGGAACATTTTAATATGCTAAAACAATTCAAATATTTAATATTCTTAGTTTTGGGGGATAAGAGGAAAATATTGCAATTGACTTTATAGTATTACCTTTGCTTGCCTTTGGAAATGCTCTGGGTAATTAACTTCATTTGCCATTTGTACCATGTTGTTCACAATCATGGTATAATGATAGTTTCACAGCCTGAGAGGGTTCACATCCCTGACTCACTGAACATCATGCTCTCTTATCAGTTAAGAAAATCTCCTCTCCTCAGTTCATATAGAGGCCCTTAAGAAAAGATTTGGAAAAATCTCTGTCATTACTAGCTAGGGATATATCAGGTTGTGAAAGTGAAAGTTATCCAGTTGCTGAGATTTCTGTAACTTGAGTCTGTTCTTGTTAAAAAGCCAGGGAGAATATTGCTTTCTGTTGTAGGCTGCCAAGAGTTTGACACTAGTTTCCAAAGACAGTCATATCTTGGTTTAATGGAGTACTCAGGGAGAGAGAGTATCTATTAAATTCAAATTATGTCATTTGCATCAATTTATGGCATTTGTGTACTTACATAAATGATGTAAATATCATTTAACAGATAAGTCTGAACCAAAAATGTTTTCATTGTATCTGAGGTCCACTTTGCAGAGATCTGTTAAACTGTATTTTTACTGCATTTATATTTGCCTAACTAAAGTAGCCCCTGATGAAATAACAGAATACTTTCCCATGCTACTACAGTTCTATTTTAATAGCTGCTTAGACTGTATAAAGATGTTTGGAATGAGATGTTCAATAGTTTGTTAATTCTTTGTATCCAGGAAAGATTTGTCTCCCTAAACCTCCATTTAACTAAATTGAACAAAGTATATAATACAGGTAGTCCTCATTTAGTGACTGCCTCATTTAGCTACCATTCGCAGTTAGGGCGGTAATAAAAAAAGTAACTTTACAACCAATCTTCATATTTACAACCTTCACAGGTCTGTAAAGCAAAGGAAAGCTGAAGTAAGATCATAAGCACAATCACGGTTTCACTTAGTGATCTCTTTGCTTAACGACCAGGTTGCCGGTCTCAGTTGTGGTCGCTAAACAAGGACTACCTTTATTTATACAAGAGAACTCTCAATAAATACAGAATTTTCTTAGCCTCAAATAAATGAAATTGTAACCCATACCCCTGTTTCATTTGGCTTCTACTGGTCAGTAATCCAGCCCAAATAAGAAACACTAAGAGAGTTCAAGAGGAGATACAGAATTCACAGTTTTAAGAGCAAACTTTTATACTGCTAGTGGTATTTAGATTCAAGTCTCCCTCAGCATTTTCAGAGCCAGCAGGCTTTCACTTTTCTGATGAATATATTCTCATGTTAAAATAAGCCTGCAAAAACCTGTCTGTTTGGTCACCATCAGGGCATGTTAGATTGAAATATTTGTTACAGTCTTAAGAACCTCAGCTTTCAAATCAGTACTTTTAGTTTTAAAGGAATACTTTCCATGGTGAATTGATAATCAGTTTGTGACCCAATAAATTTGCATCTGTGTTGCTACCTAACATGAACTGTCCTGATTACAGTGCCTGTTTATTGAATCATTTAAATGTGTTGTAACATTAATAAAGATGGCCTGCTGTTAAGCCCTTAGTTCACAACCTGAAAAGCAAATTCTCAGAGTCTTATCAACCAGATGCAGAAATCTTTATTTAAGTTTGTTAGAGTATGGAATCCTCAATCTTCCTACTAACACCCTGTTGAGGCAGTGGGAAGATGGCTACTCGTTTTCCTGATAAAAGAGATGTGCAGATGTAACTTGTAATATTTTGTAAACTGCCACTCTCTTTCCCATGTTCTGAGAAGTTACCATGAGTTTTTCTTAGGCCATTAAAATACTCATCCTGCTTATAAGGCTGCTGCTAGTACAACAGAATACAAATTCTGTTCATATTTCAAATGACAAAGGATGTATTAATGTGAGTGATTAAGCAAATGCTGAAATGTAAGGCAAAGATGTTATATTTAACCCCAGCTTTATTGTCACATTAAAATGCATTTCTGGTTGGAGTGTCCTTATGATCTGAATTTTGAAAATAAATCTTGCTAGAAAATCTTATTCCACTTTGAGTCATTTATACTACCAGTGCTAGATCTTCTACCGGTGAGGATTAAGGAGTGGTTCATGCCCTTAACTCTACCAGGATACATTAATGCCATGTGCTACACACTTTAGAAAAATACTTGGAGACTTCAGTTGGTGCAAAATACAGCTGTCCACATGCTGGTTGGTGAGAGGCACTTTAGCCATGTTACACCCATACTGTGGGCACTACCTTGGCCACCAATATGTTTCCAGGTATAATCCAAAGACTCAGTACTCCATACGGTGTCTGATCAGGGAGAGTAAAATGACAGAATTGCTTCCTGTGATCTGGATTCAATACTTCTGGTAGTATATTCCAATATAGCATTTGTCGTTTTAGTACCACTTTCTGGGTACAACCAAACAGAATGGGCTGTTAGGGACACTGCAAACAAGTGCTGCTAAGGTCCAACTGCAAACTTGCCCAACTACTTAGTTCAACACGAAAGGATCTTTTAAAAATCCCCCTGCTCCCTATATGGGAGAGCGCCTTCTCCTCTATGCCCCCGCTCCCCTGCAGTTTAGGGAAATAAGGAAAACCCTTTTTTTTCCCCCACAAAGCTTTTGTTAGTTGAATTTATTTTGATTTTAATGATGCTGGTTTTTATTTTGCCTTGACTGTAACTGTATTGTTTTTATTTTTATGTTTTATCATTTGCATTTTTAGTTGCTATAAATCACCTTGTTGTATAAATAGAAATATAGGATATAAAATCAACAATAAATAAATAAATTTCCTCCTCCGCTGTGGGCTATGAAGAAAATGTGGTTGGGATTGGCAGATGATTACCTTTCAATAGAAATAGGACCTTCAGAAGAGGGATTTTCCTTAGGACCCTAGTAGTGAACGAAGTTGTTAAATTTCCTCTCCGTGCCTGCTTTGATTCTGATCATTATCAGCCACTCCAAGCAAATGGCATTTGCATTTTTGAAGCCTGCGTGTTAATATAAAGACTCATTAACATATGTCCAGTGGGGTAGTGCATTGCAATTTGGAAGAGCTGCTTTGGGATATAGTATCTGACTCTGACTCATTAAAGCAGTCACTTCTGTTGCCAGGATTTTGTGGCTGCAGCAGAAGCCTCCACACAGCTGGCTTTGTTAACAGGCCTTACAAGGATTATCTACCAAGTCATATTTTGAGCCCAGCTGGGGGACAGCATAGTTGGGTGAGCTCTTTTCCTATTTGTGTTAAGCAATTCTTTGCTCCTCTAAGATACTTCAGGACCAAATTCAGCATGATAGGGCAGTCTTCTAACTGGCAAGAATTTTCCTTCCAATCCCCCACCTCCACATGCCCCCTAAATCTGCTTTAACGGGTCTCCCAGTCTTCCAGAACAGATTTGGAAGGCAATCAAGGGGCTGAAGGTAGAGGCAGCCTTCATTCCAGTAGTAGGGCCCATTACATTGGTGGAAGGAGCCAGCCTACAGGGGCGAAACAGTTCAGGAGTAATTTTCAGTAGGAAAACGGTACAACAAAAAATATAAAAACAAAACCCTGATCTGGATTCTCCATCCCTCCCTAGGTGGCTATTGTAAGAGGGGGAAACAAAAGAGGAGAAAAGAAGGCAAACCCAAATCGCCTCATAGATACAACGATGCTGAACCAAGCTTTCTGTCTGCACTTTGCCCACAGCTATGCAGATATTCAGGTCAAGATGTAAATCTGCTTGTGTTGCTATTTATGAAGTCATGTTCCCTTTAGTTAAACACCGACTTGGATTCCGTCCTATTCCAATTTGCATGCTAGTTTTGTTTTTTTACCAGATGTAAATTATGATTTAAGCTCTTATTTGGATAACAAAGTGCACACCTCAGGCTTTATATATGTATTGCTTTTATTGCTATGTTATACCTTGGCACCAACATTAAATCCATTGATTCAGTGGATTTTTTTTTCAAACAGCATAGATAGAATTTATCTTTGGTTCTAAGGTTGGCAGCTGTCCATGTTTTCCTGGCCGGAGGCCAGTGCAAGCTCAACAGGATGAATCCCATTGTTTAGCTGCCTTGGATTTTGTAAATTCCTTCCTAAAATATATATTTCAAGAGCTATAAATTGAATTATGTCAATAAGTTTGAAAACAGACTCAGTACAAAATAAAGCATTTCAGGATGGTTTTTGATAAATATATTTATGCATGTTCTCTCCATGGATTATTAAAAAAGAAAAATGTATTTTTGAAATAGATGCCACATTTTTCACTATATCTAGCACAGTTGTGTGTATCACTTTTTAGAATACCTCTATGACTGTCATTACCTCTTTTGCATTATTAGGGACAAGTAATTTATTTTCTGTCTCTATGTATGTTGCAGGTAGCCAGATGCCATCCCAGACTCCTGGTACCCAATCAGAATCTAGCTCCCATCCTGCCTTGAGCCAATCCCCAATGCCACAGGATCGAGGTTTGTGCTGAAAAATAATAACTGTGGAGCATAAAAGAAATTAAGAAGAGAAGAGCAAAATTTGTTGATCTGCCTATTAGAGCCAGGAAATTCTGTGTAATCTTTTCTCAGCAAGAGCAATTTCCTGAGGGAAGAGTAAATTAAAAAAGGTTATCTACAAGAACTCAGTTTTTAAAAAAGACCCTAATGTTCTGAAAACATACTGTATCAGAAGATCTTGGTAGATTGTTTATGGCATTTTAAAATCTAGATCTAGGAAACATTATTTATAAATATCTGACTTAGTATTTAGTCTCTGTGGGATAAAAATGTTAGCTTATTTTCAAACAAGAGTTCCCACAGTTTTCGAAGTATTGATGTATTGTTATGACCATAGGTCATTAAATATATTTTCTAAAAGAAGGAGGAATGGAGCTAACAGGCTGGAAATGAATATTCTTGCTTTTCTCTTCTCAAAAGGTGCCAGTGTTGTATTTTATCCAATTTCAAATACCCTAGGAATATTCTTTTCTGAATAAGGGTTTTTAATACCACAGTAACTTACCATAGTCCTGCTGTGCTGTCTCATTGTGGTGTGGAGTGTGTGTGCCTGGGAAGGATGAGTGATGAACCCTGGGAACATATGACAAAAATATAGACTCTCAGCAGGTCACTCAGGGTCTTCCAAGATGCCCAGGCAGAGCAAGCAGGCACCTATAACGGGCAGCAGCAATATAGGAAGATGCTGGAGGCAGATCACTTTAGTGTCAGCAGCAAAGGCATCATTTCATACTATGTGGGAGAAGGCAGTAGTGGTAAACCACTCCTTTATTTTACCAAGAAAACCACATGGATAGGAAACATCAAATGACTGACAATATAGTGCTGGATGATGGGCTTCTCATAGGCTTCTCACTCAACGTGCTACTAAGAAAGAGCTGAGGATCTTTTGCAGTACTAAGGATTGGATACTTTCAGTCAGAAGTTCACGTTGTTTACTACTTAAGACTTGAAAAACAAAGAAGGAACAGTGTTGCCTTCATATTTAAAAAGAGTATAGCAAGAACAGTGCTTGGCTACATTGCAATCAATGATCAAATAATATTGATTAGACTTCATGGACAAGTTTATGCTTCAACCACTGATGCAGAAGAAAGGAAGTTAATGAGTTTTATGATCAAGTTCAATTTGAAATCAGCAGAAAATGCAAGCAAGATGTGATGCTTGTGGTTGGAGATTGGAATGCCAAAGTTGGAAACATTAAGGAAGAAAATGTAGTTCAACTGTATTACTTAGGAAATGGAAATGAAGCAGAACAACTTAACAATATCTGCCAATCTAATGATTTTTTCATTGCCAACACAGTTTTCAAACAACCAAAATGACTACTATATTTATGGATAACACCAGAAGGAGTACACAGAAATCAAATTGGCTATATTGTTGATAGGAGAAGGTGGAAGAGCTCATTTATAACAGTAAAGACATGGCCAGGGGCTGACTGTAGAAGAGATAATGAATTATGATCTCTTATGTGCAAGTTCCAAGTTAAGCTAAAGAAAAAGAAAGCCAACCAGTTTCCATGATAGGATCTTGAGCATACATTCACCATTTCCAAGGAAAATATCAGGTATTGCTTTGAAGTCCTGAACTTTATTGATAGAGAGCCAGAGGAACTGTGGAATGAACTTAAAGATATTCTTGTGGATGAATGTGAAAAGAGACTGCCAAAGATCAAGAAACAGAAGAAAGCAAATTGGATGTCAGAACAAACCAAGAAGAGAAGAGAAGCCAAGCCAAGAATGACAAAGATCTCAGGAAGGAACTTAAGAAAAAATTTCAGGGAGTTGAGGCAAGAAACAGTATTACAAAAATATCAGTAAAGACACTGAAGATGAAAACAGACACGGGAAAAGAAGAAAATTCTTCTCAAAAATCTCAAAATTCATAAGGAGGTTCCAACCTTGAAATTGGTATGCTAAAGGATGTCAATGGACAGATAGTGACTTATTTTAAGAAGAGCAAAGATGGAAGGAGTATACGGAAATTCTATATAGTAGATATGTCAGTATCCAAGATAATTTAGAAGATATTCCATACAAGAACCTCTAGTATTACAAGATGAAGTTAGATCAGCACGGCAATCATTTCCATGTTGGAAGGCTACAGAAATTGATGGAATATCTGCAGAAAGCAACCAAAGAAGAATCTGTAAAGTTTTTAACCAAACTATGCCAGCAAATCTGGAGAACAGCATAGTTACCAACAGATTGAAAGAAGTCAGTATACATACTGTACCAATACCAAAGAAAGGAGACTTAACCGAGTGTGCAAACTATTATACAATGTCATTAATTTTACATGCCATCAAAATAATGCTTAGGATCATCCAACACAGATTAGAGCCTCACATAGAAAAGGAGATGCCAGTGTTAAAGCTGGCTTTAGAAAAGGCCAAGTAACATGAGACATTATTTCTGATGCACACTGGATAATTGAGAAAGCCAAAGAATACAAAAAAGAAATCAATATATGCTTCATTGATTATAAAGAGGCCTTTGATTGTGTCAATCATGTCAAGCTGTGCTTAGAAAAATGGAATCCCAAAACATCTCATTGCCCTTGTGCAAAAATGCATACAGGTCAGGAAGCCACAGTCCAGCAGAACATGGTAAACCAGAATGGCTCCAGGTTGACAAAGGAGTGAGACAAGGCTGCTTACTCTCCTTTTATTTATTCAACCTATATGTGGAATATTGAGGGAAGCTGAACTGGAAGAATATAAGCATAGTTTTAAAGTTGGCAGAAGAAACATCAATAACCTGCACTGTGCTGATGACATTACTCTGATACCTGAAAATGCAATTGATCTGCAAACTCTAGTAATGAAAGTCAAGAAGCATAGGGAAAAAATAGAACTAAGATTAAAAATAAAGACCAAAGTAGAATTGACAGTGAAGACACTGAAGTGGTAGAAAGCTTCTACCTTTTAGGGCTGACTATCGACAATAAAGGATCCAGCAATCAAGAAGCAGGCCACAGACTAGCACTTGGTTGAGTAGCAATTAAGGCCTTGGAAAAGATACTCAGATGCCATGATGTGTTTATACCTACAACAATCAGAATTGTGCAGGCAATGCTTTTCTCTGGAGAAATCTATAATGCTGGGAAACATGAAAAGGAAGGGAAGAAGAGGACGATCAGTAACAAGAAGGATGGACTCAATTAGAGCAGCAATGGGTGCACCATTGGAAGACCAGAAGGACCAGATTGGGGACAGATTGTCCTGAAATAAATCTATGTGGTAACCAAGAGTCTACATCGACTTGATGGCTCATAATCAAATTATCATGAGTTGGTTTATGGTTTACACTGTTGCATGTGTTGTCAGTTATGAACATGTTCAAGGACCTTTTATTTCCTACATTCCATGTTTTTCAGAGAAATATGAGTATTACTAGGTAATATTGTTTATAATAATATTTGTTCCTAATGAACTTAACCTGAAGATACAGAGCGGAAGATGTGGTAAAGACATTTTCCCAGCAGATCTACATCACACCTTCTAATTTCCAGCAAGCAGTGTAATGTTGTACAGGGAGATAAAAATATTAACATGCACCTAACAGAGTTAGTGAGAGATGAGATTTTAACAAAACACTTGTGTGTGTTAGTCATAAATGCCTATTTTCTTTTACTGCTACAAACTACTTTTTATTTTCTGTAAAATATACTAAAAGTCTATAAAATATACTAAAAGCTTGATCATGTATAATGTTAAAGGACATATGCCTACTATTGTTATTATCTGTGGTAATTATTACCAAAATATATTTAGGGGAGGTATTCAACATATTTGATATAGCATATTTTCAGTTGTTATATTTTACTTCACAACATTGTTGACTACAAGGTGTCTGATTCCCACCCTGTTTGGTTATATGTCTTGCAAACATACGAAGGCTAACTGGAAAACTTAGTGGTGTGGTGTGATGTTTCCATGATGTTGTATTGTTTCAAAGTATGTAAACAATCTCTTTCCCACCCTCTTATGATTCACTGGCAGAGAACTGAACAGAGTCTGGTTCTGGGCCCAAGAACAATTTTTAGTTTGAAAATTATACCCAGAATTGATTCATCAGTCAGCAAAAGTTGCCTATCACATCCTGAAAAATCCAAGTACCTGTGCAAGAAACTCCAAGGCCACTGCCTGTTAACTATTGTTTTGAATTCTGTTGGGACATTTGTGGCCACTTAAATCAGGATAGAGACCTATGTAGGTCAATTCAGGAAGGAGGGAGGGTTGGTGGGGTTGGAGGTTTTTTTGCACAGAGCATTGGATCCTATGCTCCATGATCCCTCGTGCTGTGCTTTTCTCTACCTTTGGGAATGCTTCCAGCTGAAGTTATTGATTGGAGACCAACATCAGCATCTTCACTGACTGACAACCTGATGAACCGCAGTAGAAAGAAGCGTCCAACTCTGAATTGCAGGGCCAAATAGAAATGCTGTTTTTATGAATAATTTATCATAACCTGCACTTTGAAAATTTAGACCTTAATCTTCAGATTGCTCTTTTGGCACAAGCTTTACTGTCATTTTGTTTCCAAAGCATTATCCTGATGTTTATCTTCAAGAGAGTTGGCTTTTTATTCAGAATATTTATTGAATCTCCTTCCATGCTATGGCTGATCTTTTGTGACCTAGCTTGTTTAAAATGCCCATTTGTTTCATGCAGCAAATACAGCATTTGTAACCAGTGAAGTTACATTGATTTTGCCAACACATTTCTCCAAAGCTTTTGTAAGTTCTGAGCAGTGTGCACGTAAACATGCCTGTGTTCCCTTTTGCGCCCTACCATTGATTAGAGACTTCTTTGAAATGGAAAACTTTGCCTTTTTAAAAACACATTTACATTAGTTGATACATTTACTTGCTTGAACTGTTTTCCACTGAACTTAGAAAAGGAAGGGAAAGTACCAGGATTCAAAGGAAAGGTGCTTGTCATTCACTGATAAAAC